CTTTCTTCTTTGATTCTTTCTCTTTTCTTCTTATGAAATAATCTTATCTATATTTCAGACTTTTCAGAAAATATATGAATCATTAACAGTTAGAAACTATATTTGCTCCATGGTTCCCTTCACCAGCCCAAATGAAGATTCTAGATGTGAATGTCAAACACTCTAAGGTAAGATTGTGTGCTTCATCTTGGGCTCATGGCTTTTTTAACAGGTGTCACATTTTATCTTACAAATTCCTTGCAGTTTCAGGGATGACATGTCTCTTAAACAGTGTGTGGAAGGTACAAACTATCCAGAGTAACCAACTATCCAGGAATCAGTTATTTGCTTCCACAGTGTTTAGCTCATCCATGAGGCAATGATGGGAACAAAGATACTCATACTCAGTCATGGAAAGATTTTATTTTTTTTGGTTAATATATTACTGATTATATTAAGTAATTATATATTATATTAAWATATATAATACATTAACAGAATAATATATTCTGTTAAAACATAATATACACAAAGTAAATTTGACCTATTTTAAGAGGATAGCTGAATGAGTTACAGTCAAGCAGAGAGGTAAATCTAAATTTTGTTCCACCACATCAACATAGGCATTGGAGGGATTGGTAAGGAAGAAAGGAGCTTCCACTCTTCATTTTACAATAGCTGAATCCAAATGTCCTCTGATTCACAAATCCTATCACTTGTGCTCCTTGCTGTCACTGAACACTGAAGGTAGTCATAAGTGCATAGACGTGAAAAAATCCAAGTCATTGGAGAATTCTGAGAGAATTCACATATGTCGACTAGCCTCTTTCAACTATCAATTGGCATTTATTTTTATAAACACGTGTCAATCATGTTTAAAGCATTGTATTGCATGAAATTTATGATTATCTCTGTGTTTCTTCCTATTACAATGTTTATTGTTCATATCATGACATTTTAGAAGTGGCAGAAGGGTATTGGAGAAGATTCTAGTGTGAGGAAAAAAAAATAAAACCTTTTCTTTCTTTTGAAATGGGACAAAAATCATGTTTCTTGAGCAGGTATGATATATTGAGTATTATGCATATTACATTGTTTTTCTGAGCTAATTCTTTTAAATTTTTACCACATTATTCATTTGTATTTTTAGAAAATAACCAAACTTTAAGTTAGATTCTTTGATTCATTTCTCTAAAGTTAACACAAACTTCAATATGTGACTGATGTTTGAGTTAGCTTTTGTTTTCTATTGTTTCCTTTACATATTTCTATAGGTTTTTGTAAGCTCAACATTTTCTGTTAAAATTTTACAGGACCCAGAACAATATCATATTTAACAATAGAGAGCTGTGTTGCCTATTAGAAAAGTTCTCATTGCCCTAATTCAAACRAGAACTATCATGAAATTAGGCTCTTGGTTAGAGTACATTTACATATTTTAGTATAGCCTATAGGTCATGAATTTTTGTGTTACCTATTATGGATGACTCTTCCTAATTTAAAGGATCATTTTCTCATTAACTTGATATGAACACAATTTTCAATATCATATTCAAATGATTCTGCTTTGTGTCTCAAGAAATCGACTCTTTAACTCCTAAATTTGTAAAATAGCTCAGGGAGAAACCTGTCTCTGTTAAATTCAGTTATCTCTCCACACATTCTTAAAAGGATTCTGTATCTTTTTATGTCTCCACCTATGTTTTTTAAATCAAGAAAAATTCAAAAGGATTTAGAACTCTGCTGCGTACTCTTGTCATACCAACCTCTCTCCTGGCTCCTACACTTGAGGACTGTAGAATTTCACCCCTCTTTTTATTTATTTATTTATTTTTATCACTTTGCCATCTTAAGAAATCAGTTTTCTTATTCCTTACTTCTCTATCAGCATTTCATTGTATTGAATGCTGTCAGTTTGTTTCCCAAGTGAAACATAATGACTTTAAGGGTGGCAACAATTTGATTTTTGAGAAAATTATCATTTGTAGGCATATACATTTGATAAAGATGAGACTTCTGGGTAAAAAAGAAAGCACCCAAATGTTAATATAACATAAAAAATATCTCCTACTTTTGATAAATTTCATCTTGCTATGCATAATACATGTATTTTTTTAAAGGGAAGAATAAATTGATAAATATTTGAAATTCTATTTGATCACCATGATGGTAATCTAGAAGATGATCATTAGTGCTGACATTTTCAATATGATGAATCCTGCAGTCATTGTTTTGGCAGGAGATAAACATCTATACATATCTATCTCTGTGCATGCTAGTGCTTGCGCGTGCACACACACACTCAGATATTTCTTTTAATTTAAGAAACATTTCAAAGAGGCAGGGCTGTAGCCAATATCATCTGATCCCTTGGAATGTAAACAACACAGACTATACAAATATAGAGAATTTAAAATAATCTGATAAAAATACAAACTTATTTGAAAAATATACTTCATTTTAAAACTATAATCAAAGAGTAATTGTAGGAAAGACAAAAAGACATACACAAACAGATTTTGTATTATGTTAGAAAGAATTTCTGATTTTACCTCATTGATTTTAAGACTCTTCTGACCATAGGAGACCTCAGACCTGCTTKCTCTGTCTCTCTAGCATTGCACACATTCTGTCTCTCTCCCCTTGGGTAAACGAGCAGACACACACATGATTAATCACATGCAAACACACAAATATACATGCTACACTGATGGAGACAAGTAAAAATAATTGCAAYACGAAACTATATCTCATGAAATGAAGTTTATTTAATAATATGGACTTTTAATCAGAAGTTGACAGTCAAATTCAATCACAATTTTCATAGTGTTATAATTATTTAAAAAAGACGTTTCTTTAAACTATCACACCATGGAAGAAATAAGGTGCATCAAAACTGGTAGCTAATCTCATTCATTTTTCTTAGAGAATTTGGAATCAAGATGTTATTGCTGAAGACATTCAAACATTTCTCATGTAACAAAGTTGGAGATTATTCCAGCAAGACAGGAGGTTAAACCACTATGCTCAGCAGGTGAGGATATTCCTCAGTAGAATCCATAGGACCAGCATCTTCTGTAGCAGAGTGGGCGGCAGCATCCATAACCATAGCCACCATAGCCACAGCCATAGCCGCCATAGCCACAGCCATAGCCATAGCCTAGGCCACCATAGCCATAGCCACCATAGCCACAGCCATAGCCACAGCCTRGGCCACCATAGCCATAGCCCAGCCCACCATAGTAGTTGCCATAGTAGCAGCTCATGCTGTCAGGARTGGAGTGTTCAGTTCAGGATCAGGATGTAGGTGTCTTSAGTCTGGATGTCACTGTCTGCCACCTGCCTTTTATATGCCAGGGGTGCTGGGTGGGGAAAACCACAGACAGTGCATGGTCACATTATCTCACTCATGTGCCTCAGACAACGTCATGGGTATCTTGATTTATTGCAAAAAACAAGCCTCATAACTGAGATAATTTTGTTCCTATGTCAGGATTCCATGATCTATTCATGGACTTTTTAAGATGAAATTCCTGGGCTGGTGATGTGGCTCAAGCGGTAGCGAGCTCCCTGGCATGCGTGCGGCCGGGGTTCCATCCTAAGCACCACATACCAACAAAGATGTTGTGTCCACCGAGAACTAAAAAATAAATATTAAAAATTCTCTCTCTCTCTCTCTCTCTCACTCTCTCTCTTAAAAAAAAGATGAAATTCCTGTTCTATTTTGAATGCCAAGTATTGTTCTACGTATAGTTAATTGAATACTTATGATATGATTATATAGGACCATGTAAGTTATGAAAACAGGTATTTCAATTTGATTTTTGTTTTGTCTTGTTTCCATTCTTAAATAGAAGATGAGATTTTCCTTCCTTCCTTCCTCCCTGCCTACCTTCCTTGCTTCCTTCCTTCRCTTCCTCTCTCTACTTTTCTCTTCTTCTTTGGAATTATCCTTAATTTATATTTCAAGCTTTCCAGAAAACACATGTTAATTTTCCAGTTATAAACCACATTTGATCCATGGTTCCCTTTTTCGTCCCAAATGATGATAACAGATACAAGAGTAAAGCACTGAAAAGTAAAATTTGGTGYTCCACCCTGAACTCTTACTGTTTTGTAATAAGTGTCACATTCATTCTTTGAAATACCATGGAGGTACAGGATTGGCATATCTTTTAAAAAGTGCATGGATAGGGCTGGAGTTGTGGCTCAGTGGTAGAGAGCTTGCATAGCATGCTTGATGCACTGGGTTCGTTCGATTCTCAGCACCACATATAAATAAATTAATAAAATGAAAGTCCATCGACAATCTAAAAMATATCTTTAAAATAAAGTGCATTGACAGAACACAGGTACCCAATGAGCCATGCACTCCTTATTTGCTTCCTCAGTTTTTAGCTTATGATGAAGTATAGGTGGAAACAGGATACTCACTTTTGTAAAGATGTTTTTGCTTGAATATCAATAGTTAATTATTCTATAAAGTTCAATTTACATAAAATAAATTAGACCTGTTATAAGAGAATAGATCAACATCTGAGACATAGAAAAATCTAAATTATGTTCCATCATTCTTACTGCAGACATTGGAAGGAAGGAAGGGCTTCCACTCTGATTTTATATTTGCTGAATTCAAAAGTCCTCTGACTCACAAATTCTGCCAGTTATGCTCCTTGCTATCACTGCACCCTGAAAATATTCACAGGTGCATAGATATGTCAAAAACTTGCTTTCCATCACCCTTAGGTTCTCATTCAAATCATTTGTGAMTTCTGAGARAAATTCATAGGTCTGCTGGCTTCTTTCAGCTACCCATTGACGTTTATTTTTCATTGACAATGTGCCAATAATACTTTCAGTATTATTTTGTATTGTGTGTTACAAAAAAGACAAGACTGCAAGTTTTCTTCCTTTTGAAATTGGACTATAAATCATGTTTCTTCAGCAGGTTTAGTATATTTAGTATTAGTTACATTACATTGCATCTCTGAAGGTAAATTTGTTAAATAATTTACTGTTTCATTCATTTGCCTTTTTAAAAGCAAACTAGAATTTTAATTTAATTCTTGGTTCATTTCTACAAGTTTAGTACAAGCTTCAATATGTGGTTTTTGTTATCTGTTGTTTTTTTTGTTCATATTTCCATGGGAGTCCATGAGTACAACCTTGTCTATTAAAATCCTAGAAGATTCAGAACAATATTATATTTCACCTTAGAGAATTGTATTGTTGCCACTCTTCTTGAACTGTTAGAAAATGTTTGAGTGACCCAATTAAAACAAGGATTAATGCAAAATTAAGCTCTGAATATTGGTTAGGGTCCATTTACCTCTTTTGGTMTAGACTGCAGTGGATGTTCATTTGTCTCCTCTGATAAAGATGGTCCTTCTTAATTCTAGTGATGATTTTCTCATCACCTTGATAGGAACACCTTTTTTTATTATTTTTTAATCTCATTTGARATGATTCTGCTTTGTGTCTTAGGAAATGGCCCCCTGTGACTTCCAATTTCTACAATATCACAAGGACAAACCTGGCTCTGTTAAGGTCAGTATTCTCCAAGCACATTCTTGTCAGACTGTGTCTTTGTATGTTTCCAACTATGGTTTGTCAGTCCTGAAAAATTAATGGACTCAAAATTCTGCTGGTCACTCTGTATCACCACACCATCCTGCCTGGCTCCTAGAATGGACAATTTCACCCCTTCACTCATATTCTCCATCTTCAGAATGTTCTCCCCTTATTCCTTGTTTTCCCCACTAGTATTTCCTTGCACTTAATGCCTTCAGTTTGTTTCCCAAGTGAAACATAATGGCTTTAAGTGTGCAAAGAATTTGATTCTGAGAAAATTAGCATATGGAGTCATGTTCATTTGATGAAGACTCACTCAACTGTGGAATAAAAATGAAAATAAACTACTGCTAATTTGATACTGAGGAAACAGCTCATGGTTTGATTAATTTATCTTACTATTCATGGTACCCAATTTTTCCTAAAGAGAAGAAATTATTATTTATTTTGAAATTATTTATTTTGAAATACTATCGAGTTGCCATGATGATAATACATTATGTCATTTTATTATACACATTTTCAATATGATAAAGTCTGCAGTATTTTTTAGGGAGGAGATGTAGTTACAGATACAGATATAGATATCGAGATATCAAAAAAGAGATGTTTATATATACTAATGTATACATGTGTACATACACATATCTGTACATAAAATACACACATCTAAACATCTATGTGCCACTGTATACACACATTTAATTTGAGATTCTTTCACTAAGGCTGAGCTATAGATGATATCATCTCACCACTGATGGTGCAAATGACACAAATATGTAAATACAAAGATTTTTAAATGATCTCATGTTGTATAAAAACATTATTGTATATTATACCCATTTTAAAAAGCTTACAATCAAAGGGTAATTTTAGAGGATATGAAAAGACAAAAATAAAACATAATTTTTATGATTCCTGAAAGACTGAATATTTGTATATTAATTTAAATTCCTAATGATCACAAAGTAACTCTAACATTCTCTTTTAGTCTCTGTCTCTCTCTAGCATTTCTATGAACAACACATAAGACTAATCACAAGCACGTGTACCAATACACACTCACACTCACAAATGGACACATTTCAATAGAATTGTAAGACAGCGATGTTTCCAGTGAAATACAATTTATTGTATAATATGTATTGTTTACATATTGAGAGTGAAATCTGATCAGAATTTACATAGAGTTATAAAGATAATTATTAAATGAAAATGTTTCTCTAACTATTACACAATCAAAGAGTTAAGGATGAATTAAAACAGGCGTGCTGATTTCATTCATTTTTCTAAGACACTTTGGTGTATAGTTGCTATTTTTGAAGACATTTAACATTTTTCATGTGAAGAAAGTTAGAGATGATTCCTGTAAGACAGGACATGACAGCCAGTAGGCTCAGCAGCTGAGGAAATGCCTCAGTAGAAGCCATAGGAATAGTATCTTCTATAGTAGAGTGGGCGGCAGCATCCATAACCATAGCCACCATAGTCACCATAACCACAGCCTAGACCACCATAGCCATAGCCACCATAGCCACAGCCATAGCCAAAGCCACAGCCTAGGCCACCATAGCCATAGCCCAGCCCACCATAGTAGTTGCCATAGTAGCAGCTCATGCTGTCAGGAGTGGAGTGTTAAGTTCAGGATCAGGATGTAGGTGTCTTGAGTCTGGATGTCACTGTCTGCCACCTGCCTTTTATATGCCATGCGTGCTGGTGGGGAAAACCACAGGCAGTGCATGGTCACATTATCTCACTCATGTGCCTCAGACAACATCATGAATATGTTGACTTATTGAAAAACAAGCCTCATAACTGAGATAATTTTGCTCCTACATCAGGATTCTGCAATTCATTTATGGGCCTTTAAAATGAAATTCTTGTTCTACTTTGAATGCCTTGTCTCTTTTTGTTTATAGTTAATTGAGTACCTATGATATGATTATGTAGTACTGTGTAAATTATGAAAGTAGGTATTTCACTTAGATTATTGTTTTGTTTCATCCATTCTTAATAGAAGAATTTCCTTCCTTCCCACACTCTTTTCATTTTTTTCTTAATTTATATTTACTTATTCTTAATTTATATTTCCAATTTTCAAAAAACACATGTCCATGTTTTAGTTAGAAACCACATTTTTCTCCATGATTCCCTTTTTCACCCACCAYGAATGTTACAAATGCTAAAGCACCCTAAGGTAAGTTGGATGCTATATTCTCAATTCTTTATGTTTTATAATAGCTGTCACATTTACTCTTTAAAATGCCATGCAGATGCAGGAATGTCAGCTTCTGTAATAGTGCATGGATAGTACAGAGGGACCAAATGAGACATGAGCTCCTTCTTTTAGAGGAGCTTCCTTATATTTTGTCTGATGTTTAAATATTGGTGTAAACAAGGAAAATCAGTCATGGATCAATTTTTTTTGTTTCCTCATAAATAATTTTTAAATTTATTAAAATTTAATTAATAACAATAAACTAAACCTATTATAAGAAGATCAATCAACACCTTAGGTAGTCAGAGACAAATCTAAATTATGTTCYACCACTCTTAATGCAGACATTGGAAAATTGGTAAGAAAAGAAGGAGACTCCAGTCAGATTTTATTTTTACTGAACCCAAAGTCTTCTGACTCTCTTTGATGTCACTGTGCACTGAAAAGAGTCACAGGAACATATGATGATTTTATCATTATCTTGATACAAACACAGTTTTTATTATATTCCAATCTCATTTGAAATGATTTGGTTTTGTGTCTTAACAAATGGAGCCCTGTGACTTCCAATTTCTAAAATATCTCAAGGAGAAACCTGGCTCTAGTCAGTATTTTACCAGCAATTCTGTCAGATTGTGTTTTTATATGTCTCAAAATATGGTTTGCCAGGCTTGAAAAATTAAAAGCGGACTTTTAATTCTGCTACTCTCTGTCAAGGCACCATCTTGCCTGGCTCCTAGGCCTGCCATCTTCTCACTTTCACCAAATTTCTCTGTCCTCAGAATATTCACCCCATTATTTCTTACTTTCCCCATCAGCCATTCCATTTAACGCTGTCAGTTTGTTTCCCAAGTGAAACATAACCACTGTAAGAGTGCAAAGAATTTGATTACAAAGTAAATTAGCCTATGTAGGTGCGTGCATTGGAAAAGACTGGATTTTGAGATTAAAAATAAAATACCCTAATGCTAATTTGATACTTGGAAAGTAKCTCATGGTTTTGATAAATTATCTTGCTATACAGTACTTGCTAATTTTTCCTAAATACAAAAATAAGTTTACATGTTTTGAAATACTATTTAGTTGTCATGGTGATAGTCCATAATGCCATTATTAGTGCACATATTTTCAATATGATAAAGTTTTCAGTCATCTTTTAGGGAGGAGATATAGATACAGATACAAACATAGATATCAATATCAATATAGAGATAGATATAGATGTCTAYATATGTATATATACATATCTATATAGAGAGATTTATGTATTCCTATACATATTTATCTCTCAATGCAAACACATAAACAATTAATTTGAGATACTTTCACAGAGACAGAGGTATAGATGATATATTACAACCACTGGTGGTGTAAGTGAAATGAAACATCAAACAGAAAGATTTTAAAATGATCTCATGTTGTATASATACACTATTGTATAGAAAAAGGCCATTCAGAAAACTTTACAAAGAAGGGTAATTTTAGGAGTGATAAAAATACATATATAAAAAGAAATTTTGTATGATCTCTTAGAAAAGACTTATTTATACCATTAATTTTGGGATTTCTAATGACCACAGAAGAGTTCAGGCATACTCTTTCTCTCTCATTTCTATAAAACCCCCACACATGTTTAATCACATCCAAATATACAAATGGACATGCTTTATTGATGGGGACAAATGAAAACAATTGTAACAATATTTCCAATGAAATACAGTTTATTTAATATTATGGGTGTTTACAAAGAAGTTGACAGTTAAATTCAACCGCATTTTATGCAGTGTTTTAATTATCAAAAAAAAAACACAATAAAACATTTCTCCAAACTATCATTCAATCCAAGAGATAAGAATGAATCAAAACAGGTAGCTGATTTCATTCATTTTTATCAGACACTTTGGTGTATAGTTGGTATGTTGAAGGCATTTAACATTTTTCATGTGAAGAAAGTTGGAGATGATTCCAGTAAGACAGAACATGACAGCCAATAGGCTCAGCAGCTGAGGAAATGCTTCAGTASAAGCCATAGGAATAGTATCTTCTGTAGCAGAGTGGGCGGCAGCATCCATAACCATAGCCACCATAGCCACCATAACCACAGCCTAGGCCACCGTAGCCACAGCCATAGCCACCATAGCCACAGCCATAGCCACAGCCTAGGCCACCATAGCCATAGCCCAGCCCACCATAGTAGTTGCCATAGTAGCAGCTCATGCTGTCAGGAGTGGAGTGTTCAGTTCAGGATCAGGATGTAGGTGTCTTGAGTCTGGATGTTACTGTCTGCCACCTGCTTTTTATACCTCCCTGGTGTTGGGTGGGGGAAACCACAGGCAGTGCATGGTCATATTATTTATCTGATGTGCCCCAGGCAATGTTAGGAATGTCTTGAATTATTGCAAAACATAGCACTCATAACTGAGATAATTTTGCTCCTATGTCAGAATTCAATGATCCATTTATGAGCCTTTGAAATTAAAGTTTTATTCTATTTAGAATGATGAGTATCACTCTACACTTAGTCAATTGAGTACTTATGATCTGATTGTATATCCCATGTGAGTTATGACAACAGGTATTTCATTTTTGTTTTGTTTCCATTCTTCAAAAGAAAGAAAGGTTTTCTTCCCCTGCCCTTATTTTCTTTCTTCCTTTCTTCTTTTCTTCCTGTTATAATGTGGGTGTCAGGTGTCCCCTCACAGCTCATGTGTGAGACAATTCAAGAAGGCTTAGGGATGCAATGACTGGGTTATGAGAGCCTTAGCCCAACCAACTTAATCCCTTGATAGGAATTAATGGAGTGGTAACTCAAGGCAGGTACAATGTGGCTGGGTGAGGTGGGTCATTGGCTGCGTGCGGTTGAGTTATATATTTTGTGAGCTCAGTGAATTCTCTCTCTGTGCTTCGTGATTATCATATGAACTGCTTTCCTCCACTCTACTCTCTTGCCATGATGTTCTCTGCCTTACCTGAAACCCTGAGGAATGGAGCCAAGTTTTATAGACTAAAACCCCCAAATAAACTCTTTCTCCTCTAAAATTTTTCTTGGTATCTTTTATTCATGGTAGCAAAAGAGCTAACTAAAACACTTCTTTCCTTCCTTCTTGAGAGATTGGACTTACCTTATGTTTCAAACTTACCAGAAAATTAATTACTTTTTTATAATTAGAAACTATATTTGTTCCATGGTTCACTTCCTCATCCCAAGTGAAGTTTTTTGGTGCAAGTGTAAAATACTGTAAGGTAAAGTTGAGTGCTCCATCCTCAATTTCTTTTATTTTTAATTTTTTTATAGCAGTCACTTTTCCTCCTATAAATGCCGTGCAGTTTCAGGAATGACATGCCTATGGATTGATCCGGGGGACCAAATGAGCCACACACCCCTTCTTTGCTTCCTCTGTTTTGGCTGCTGATGAAGTAGTGGTAGGAACAAGGATACTCAGTCATGAAAAGAATTTTTTTGTTTTGCTAACAATATATACTGACACTTATAAAAAAACAATTTACCTAATGTAAATTATACCTACTATAAAAAAAAGCTGCTCAATGAGTTAGACAGCCAAACAGAGATAGATCTAAATTATTTTCTTCCACTTTAAATGTAGATATTGTATGTTTTCACACAAAAAAAAGAAGGAAATTCCACTCTGATTTTACATTTGCCAGACCCAAATGACTCCAGCTTCACAATATACCAGTTCTACTCTTTGCTACACTGAAGCTAGTCATAGGTACAGAGACATGATGAAAATCCTGTTTTTCCCTATGGGACTCATTTATTTCATTTGAGACTTCTGAAAGAAATTCACATAGGTCTGCTTGTCTCTTTCAATTGACACATATATTGTTATAAACATGTGTCAATCATTTTTAAGACATTGTATTGTGTGATATTTATCACTATCTCTTGATATCTTCTTATTACTATGTCTCTTGTCCATACCATGATATGATCGAAGTGACAAATGAACAATGGAGAAAGTTCTAGTGTTGGAAAAGAAAAAAAAAAGTAAAAAGTTTTCTTTCTCTTGAAATTGGAAAAAACAATGTATTTCTTGAGTAGGTATACTATGTTTCATTTCATACATATTACATATTTGTCCAAATAAGTAAGAGATTTTTTTTAAAGTGTCCAGATAATGTTTGGTGCCTATATTAGTCATCAGCATTTCATCAATGTGTTGGTGTTAAAATGCTGTGATGGCTAAACAAGATTTAGGAAAAATGCTGAGCCCATTGAAGCTGGATGTGTAGAGCTGGTGAGCTCAGACCCTGGGAGATTTTAATATCAGACATTAGGTAGCCAGCAGCCACAGGACAGGAGATACTATCTGTATTGTGCCTGTGATCTGATGACACGAAGTATGCAGATAGAATCATGTGAGGTGTTCAGAGAAAA